GCCTTATACGGTGTTTTTGGGGTGGTAATTATGCTAATCTCCTCTCGCGTGCACGAGCAGCTGGATACAAACAGGTGTAATTTACGCAGCTCATTTACACACTTTTCCTGAAGATAGAAGAGTTTGTTGAATCTGACGTGACATAAGAGAAATTTAGGATAAGAATACGAACATGTTCTTGCATGAGGCCCAGTGTTTATATAATTTATTAGGAGGTTATCATAGTTGCAGTCAGGGGCGCCTGCAGGATTTTATTGTAGGGTGTGCACAAACCCATCTACCAGACCCACACAAATACAGGTCACATGGGCGCAGTGCGCCTGACACGCAAAAACATCAACTTGGTACCGCGCTAAGTCCTGACCGCAGCCACAGGAGTGCGATTCGCATCCGTCCCACAGGCCCAAAGCGTGCGGACACATTTGTCCCGCGTTTGACTCGTCACATTAAGAAATGTCAAAGAAAGGAAAATTAAAAATCGACAAATGTTAGCTATTTAGTGGCTGCAGTTTGCAATGTTACCACCTTATTTCTGTCTGCGTTCTTTGCAGGAAGAAGAGAAAGAGGAAGACAGAGATGCAGCATCAGATCAGTCACAACGCGCTGTGGCCACTGCATTAAAACAATTAAGTTAAATAAAAATAGGGCAAGAACTTAGGCAGACTGTAGTGGAAACTGTCAAAACGCAGCAAAACAGACATTGATAAAAGGGTGAGGTCAGTGAAAGGTGATATTAAGTTTTTTTTAAGGGGAACAAGACGTGGAGCGACAAGAAACCCTCAGCTCAGAACATATTTTGCTCAAACTGAAAAAACATGACGGTCTGACTGAAACCAGGTGGTTAAAGTTACCTGTGGCTGAGAGCTGCTGGGCTCCTGGGAGAGGTGTAGCTGCGGAGGCGAAGGCAGAGAGAAGCTTTGTCCACGGGAGGAGAGATTTCCTGGCTCAGGTGCTGTCATTTACCTCCAGAGGATGAGGCAAAGTGACGGCACTTTATTTCTACTCTTTTGTAAATGTTTCCACAAGGTTTAACTGTTTAAAACAGGGGTTCTCAAACAAGGGCGAAAAAAATTCCAGGGACCCCCCTCATAATACCCGTGCTGTTTTAAAAGACAATTTACTGTCATTTCAACCCCTAAATGCCATGGGAATATATATATTTCTATTAAGTTTATTATGTTTGTTTTATTAGTTCATTGTTCTCCATGCATTTTTAAAAATAAAAACCAAATTAACATTTTAGTAAAAATTTTTGAGGACCCCCAGGATACCTCTCGCGGACCCCTTGGGGTCCAGGGACCCCAGTTTGAGAACCTCTGGTTTAAAAGTTCGCTAACCCATGTTTAGTTAGCTTCACCGCACAGTCAAAGTGCCAGGGCAGCCGCCAAATAAACAAAATAAACAATTTAGTTTCGGACGCATGCACCCACCCCAAGAGACGCACACAGATGAATGTACAGGAAATTCTGACAAAAGACAATTTCTTATTTTATTTTGTCCACCATTTTTGTAATAATAAAGAGTGAAAAATCATTTTAAAAAGGTTGAATGCTTATAAAACCAATTTTTTAACTCAAAGGAAAGTCTCAAGGTACGCACAGTGCGTACAGCCATGGTTGCAGTCATTTTAACCTGTCATGGGCTTCTCTCACACCATGCCTTATGTTAAGTCACGTTCATAAGCATAACTGTAAAAATACTTTTAGATTAGATTAAACATACACCCCCAAAAAATGTGTGAGGTAACTTTTAAAAGTTAATCACAAAAACAATACAATCATAATTTGGCTCCAATCTATATCTCTCACTGTGACACACTGAATTCAGCTGCTCAAAATTATCTAGTTTCCATGTATTATTTATTTTTTATCCAATGTCATCAAATGGATTCCGTAGATAATTTTAAGTGAGTACCATTTAGCATATTAGCTGATCAGTTAATTAGATTGCAACAATTATGACTTAGCTGTTTCATAATTATGAGAAATGTTTGATAACATAAAATCATATGAACTAGTTAAGTCATAAAGATGGGATCAAATTTCATAATTACGAGACACTAATTGTCCCCTGTCACCACGGCAAACTCAGACATCGCACCATTGACATTTGTTTGGCTCTAAATTCCAGCCGATCTGCCAAGTTCATTATGGTCGATCCTATTCCACCCCATGACAGGAATGCAGTTGGAGTGTGTGGCCTAATTAGACATCACGCCACTGACATACATTTGGCTCGAAATTCCACATATTTCAGTCAATATGCACGCAATTAACTTTGGTTGATCCAAAGCAACGCCAATTTTTGGGGGAGTGGCCTAATTACTCCACAGCACCCCTAACTCTCCACTTTTTTTTGTTGTTTTACATCATGTTATAATGTTATCCCCTCATCAAGAACATGCCCAAAGTCTTGCTTTGACTCATTCATGTATGTTTAAGAAATCCTGTAGTGTCCTGAGGCAGCCAGGCAGGGGAGCAAAAACAACTGGTTGGGACTAGAACCGCCTTTTGGGACCAGCTCCTCCTCTGGAATGTCTCCAAGCCGAGCTTCCTCATCACGGAGCACACACCGACCAGGCCCGTGCTGAAATGGGCGGGACAGAAGCAGAGTTGTAATGTAACTAAGTGCAAATATTTTGTTACTGTACTTAAGTAGAATTTTTGGGCATCTGTACTTTACTTGAGTAATTATTTTTCAGCATACTTTTTACTTTTACTTATTACATTTTTACACAATTATCTGTACTTTCTACTCACTACATTTTTTAAAAAGGTAAGAAGTAGAAAGTCGTTAAAAAATTAAAAACTCCTCTCCTGATAAACTGTGTCTCCTATAGAGTGAATTTAATTGTGGATGGATGAGAAGTATAAATATATAAAATTCTGACACCCTATTAGCT